AAGAGTCTGATTATCTTGTTGGATGCACCATAGACATGTGGCTCCTCCTGCATGATGGAATGATGATAGTTGGACTGACTGGTGACAGTCTCCCTCAGGCACTCGATGAAGTCCAGTTGAAGTTCTTTTCGTATTATTGTTCTCAAACAGCTGACAGTCTAAGATTGTCCTTAAAGGTATATATGACTTTGCCAGCTCATCTGAAGACCTTTGTGAGATAGAATCCACAGAAGGTGTAGTTTGACTCCACTGGCCACAATTCTACCATATTTGTGTCTGGTTTCTGACACAAGCATCACTCAATCCTACCATACCTGTGTCTGGCTTCTGACACAAGCATGACACACTCCTACCATACCTGTGTCTGGCTTCTGAAACAAGCATGCAACAATCCTACCATACCTGTGTCTGGTTTCTGACACATGCATGACACTATCCTACCATACCTGTGTCTGGCTTCTGACACAAGCATGACACAATCCTACCATACCTGTGTCTGGCTTCTGACGCAAGCATGACACAATCCTACCATACCTGTGTCTGGTTTCTGACACAAGCATGACACTATCCTACCATACCTGTGTCTGGCTTCTGACACAAGCATGACACAATCCTACCATACCTGTGTCTGGTTTCTGACACAAGCATGACACAATCCTACCATACCTGTGTCTGGCTTCTGACACGAGCATACCACAATTGATACTCGAGGAGTTAAGAGAATTTATAGATGATAAAGAATTAGTTACAATTAAAGTATCAACCTTTGAAACATGGTCGCATCAGCGAGGAGCATAGCAAGCAGTTCAGTGTGATGGTTAAAATCCTTAGTTATTGCAAGGTTGCAATGCAAATCTTAGAGGATTAAGAAATGTTAAGAAGCTCATAGGAAAATGTGTGGGTATACGGACCGTAATTAGAAGTTTGTAAGATTTACCTGTTATCTTACGTGTTCATGAGACACCGATGTGACTGTCACTTGTTCATGACACAAAGAAAAATATCAGTAATCCTGTCAGAGTGAAAAATAAATTACATGTTTTCATTCACACTTGTATGACAGGATGGTAGTACCTCCCTGGATGGTTGTTGTCTACCAACCTGCTACCTGTGTTTCACACTTGTATGACAGGATGGTAGTACCTCCCTGGATGGTTGTTGTCTACCAACCTGCTACCTGTGTTTCACACTTGTATGACAGGATGGTAGTACCTCCCTGGATGGTTGTTGTCTACCAACCTGCTACCTGTGTTTTCACACTTGTATGACAGGATGGTAGTACCTCCCTGGTGGTTGTTGTCTACCAACCTGCTACCTGTGTTTCTACACTTGTATGACAGGATGGTAGTACCTCCCTGGATGGTTGTTGTCTACCAAACCTGCTACCTGTGTTTCACACTTGTATGACAGGATGGTAGTACCTCCCTGGATGGTTGTTGTCTACCAACCTGCTACCTGTGTTTCACACTTGTATGACAGGATGGTAGTACCTCCCTGGATGGTTGTTGTCTACCAACCTGCTACCTGTGTTTCACACTTGTATGACAGGATGGTAGTACCTCCCTGGATGGTTGTTGTCTACCAACCTGCTACCTGTGTTTCACACTTGTATGACAGGATGGTAGTACCTCCCTGGATGGTTGTTGTCTACCAACCTACTACCACAGAACGGTAGTACCTCCCTGGATGGTTGTTGTCTACCAACCTGCTACCTGTGGTTTTGTCACACTTTAGACAGGATGGTAGTACCTCCCTGGATGGTTGTTGTCTACCAACCTGCTACCTGTTGTTCCAACCTACTACCACAGGACGGTAGTACCTCCCTGGATGGTTGTTGTCTACCAACCTACTACCACAGGACGGTAGTACCTCCCTGGATGGTTGTTGTCTACCAACCTGCTACCTGTGTTTCACACTTGTATGACAGGATGGTAGTACCTCCCTGGATGGTTGTTGTCTACCAACCTACTACCACAGGACGGTAGTACCTCCCTGGATGGTTGTTGTCTACCAACCTGCTACCTGTGTTTCACACTTGTATGACAGGATGGTAGTACCTCCCTGGATGGTTGTTGTCTACCAACCTGCTACCTGTGTTTCACACTTGTATGACAGGATGGTAGTACCTCCCTGGATGGTTGTTGTCTACCAACCTACTTCCTGTGTTTCACACTTGTATGACAGGATGGTAGTACCTCCCTGGATGGTTGTTGTCTACCAACCTGGTACCTGTGTTTCACACTTGTATGACAGGATGGTAGTACCTCCCTGGATGGTTCTTGTCTACCAACCTACTACCTGTGTTTCACACTTGTATGACAGGATGGTAGTACCTCCCTGGATGGTTGTTGTCTACCAACCTGCTACCTGTGTTTCACACTTGTATGACAGGATGGTAGTACCTTCCTGGATGGTTGTTGTCTACCAACCTACTATGTTTCACACTCACGACAGGATGGTAGTACCTCCCTAGATGGTTGTTGTCTACCAACCTACTACCTATGTTTCACATTCACGACAGGATGGTAGTACCTCCCTGGATGGTTGTTGTCTACCAATCTACTACCTTTCTTTCACACTTGTATGACAGGATGGTAGTACCTCCCTGGATGGTTGTCTACCAACCTACTACCTGTGTTTCACACTTGTATGACAGGATGGTAGTACCTCCCTGGATGGTTGTTGTCTACCAACCTACTACCTGTGTTTCACACTTGTATGACAGGATGGTAGTACCTCCCTGGATGGTTGTTGTCTACCAACCTACTACCTATGTTTCACACGACAGGATGGTAGTACCTCCCTGGATGGTTGTTTTCTACCAACCTACTACCTGTGTTTCACACTCACGACAGGATGGTAGTACCTCCCTGGATGGTTGTTGTCTACCAACCTACTACCTGTGTTTCACACTCACGACAGGATGGTAGTACCTCCCTGGATGGTTGTTGTCTACCAACCTACTACCTATGTTTCACACTCACGACAGGATGGTAGTACCTCCCTTGATGGTTGTTGTCTACCATCCTACTACCTATGTTTCACACTCACGACAGGATGGTAGTACCTTCCTGGATGGTTGTTGTCTACCAACCTACTACCTGTGTTTCACACTCACGACAGGATGGTAGTACCTCCCTGGATGGTTGTTGTCTACCAACCTACTACCTGTGTTTCACACTCACGACAGGATGGTAGTACCTTCCTGGATGGTTGTTGTCTACCAACCTACTACCTGTGTTTCACACTCACGACAGGATGGTAGTACCTTCCCTGGATGGTTGTTGTCTACCATCCTACTACCTGTGTTTCACACTCACGACAGGATGGTAGTACCTCCTGGATGGTTGTTGTCTACCAACCTACTACCTATGTTTCACACTCACGACAGGATGGTAGTACCTCCCTGGATGGTTGTCTACCAACCTACTACCTGTGTTTCACATCACGACAGATGTAGTACCTTCTGGAGGGTTGTGTACCACCTACTACCTTTTCACACTCACGAGGATGGTGTACCTTCCTGAGTTGTTTCTACCAACCTACTACCTATGTTTCACACCCCACGACAGGATGGTATACCTTCCTGGATGGTTGTTGTCTACCAACCTACTACCTATGTTTCACACTCACGACAGGATGGTAGTACCTCCCTGGATGGTTGTTGTCTACCAACCTACTACCTTGTTTTCACACTCACGACAGGATGGTAGTACTTCCCTGGATGGTTGTTGTCTACCAACCTACTACCTATGTTTCACACTCACGACAGGATGGTAGTACCTTCCTGGATGGTTGTTGTCTACCAACCTACTACCTGTGTTTCACACTCACGACAGGATGGTAGTACCTCCTGGATGGTTGTTGTCTACCAACCTACTACCTATGTTTCACACTCACGACAGGATGGTTTAGTACCTCCCTGGATGGTTGTTTTTCTACCAACCTACTACCTATGTTTCAAACTCACGACAGGATGGTAGTACCTCCCTGGATGGTTGTTGTCTACCAACCTACTACCTGTGTTTCACACTCACGACAGGATGGTAGTACCTCCCTGGTTTGGTTGTTGTCTACCAACCTACTACCTATGTTTCACACTCACGACAGTATGGTAGTACCTCCCTGGATGGTTGTTGTCTACCAACCTACTACCTATGTTTCACACTCACGACAGGATGGTAGTACCTTCCTGGATGGTTGTTGTCTACCAACCTACTACCTATGTTTCACACTCACGACAGGATGGTAGTACCTTCCTGGATGGTTGTTGTCTACCAACCTACTACCTATGTTTCAAACTCACGACAGGATGGTAGTACCTTCCCTGGATGGTTTTGTCTACCAACCTACTACCTTGTTTCACACTCACGACAGGATGGTAGTACCTCCCTGGATGGTTGTTGTCTACCAACCTACTACCTATGTTTCACACTCACGACAGGATGGTAGTACCTCCCTGGATGGTTGTTGTCTACCAACCTACTACCTATGTTTCACACTCACGACAGGATAGTAGTACCTTCCTGGATGGTTGTTGTCTACCAACCTACTACCTATGTTTCAAACTCACGACAGGATGGTAGTACCTCCCTGGATGGTTGTTGTCTACCACCTACACTGTTTTCACACTCACGACAGGATGGTAGTACCTCCCTGGATGGTTGTTGTCTACCAACCTACTACCTGTGTTTCACACTCACGACAGGATGGTAGTACCTCCCTGGATGGTTGTTGTCTACCAACCTACTACCTATGTTTCACACTCACGACAGGATGGTAGTACCTCCCTGGATGGTTGTTGTCTACCAACCTACTACCTATGTTTCACACTCACGACAGGATGGTAGTACCTTCCTGGATGGTTGTTGTCTACCAACCTACTACCTATGTTTCACACTCACGACAGGATGGTAGTACCTCCCTGGATGGTTGTCTACTGCTATACTACCTCATATACACGTACTAAAAATCTCTCTAAGAGAGAGAACAGGACCCACCAGACACACCACAGAAGACAACATGTTTGGATCATGCTTCAAGACGATGGTGAAGACAACTTCAGCGTCTTGTAAGCTTCCAGTGCTGAGATAAAGCTTTCCCAAGCTCTCTCCCACCTCAGCTTCCCATACTATTGCCAGAGCTCTGTTGGGAGGAGCCAGAGAAAGCTGATTGTTATTATTATTATTATTATTATTATTATTATTATTATTATTATTATTATTATTATTATTATTATTAATATTATTATTATTATTATTATTATTATTATTATTATTATTATTATTATTATTTTGCTGTTCTTGTTACTTCTACTACTGCTGCTGCTACGTATTAGTAGTATAGTATAATAATATATTATTAATAATAATTATATATAATAATATTATTATATATAATTATTATTATTGGAAAGTGATAAACCCATCAGGGCCAAATAATTTCTGATTAAAAACCAGTGATAATTAATTTTGGTCCGAGTAAGAGCAAGAAGGCTCCTGTTCTTTGAATCAGGAGCTCTTCACCGAGCAGTTAGCGCCCTTGTATGCGTATTTCTCACCTCTTGTAGAGCGCTATGGCCTGGTGGTGACGGTTGAGGGTTGTCATCAGTCTGGCAGTGTTGACCAATGCCACCCATTGGTGGGGGTCGAGGCTCAGGGCCAACTTGTAGTGCCTCAGGGCCGTCTCCAGATGACCTAGAGGAAGACACAGGGGTCAAAGGTTAAATCGTGGAGAAATGAACGTTGGGGAAACCATATGACATGATGCAATCACTGTATCAAGAGGCCCCGCTATACAGCAGGTCAGGCTCCAGCTACCGCTTGAAGGGGCCCGCTTATACAAGTCAGCTCCAGTACCGCTGTAAGGGGGGCCCCCGCTTATACCGCAGGTCAGGCTCCAGGCTACCGCTGTGAAGGAGGGCCCGCTTATACAGCAGGTCAGGCTCCAGGCTACCACTGTGAAGGAGGGGCCCGCTTATACAGCAGGTCAGTCTCCAGGCTACCGCTGTGAAGGAGGGGCCCGCTTATACAGCAGGTCAGGCTCCCAGTCTACCGCTGTGAAGGAGGGTCCTGCTTATACAGCAGGTCAGGCTCCAGGCTACCGCTGTGAAGGAGGGGCCCGCTTATACAGCAGGTCAGGCTCCAGGCTACCACTGTGAAGGAGGGGCCCGCTTATACAGCAGGTCAGTCTCCAGGCTACCGCTGTGAAGGAGGGGCCTGCTTATACAGCAGGTCAGGCTCCAGTCTACCGCTGTGAAGGAGGGTCCTGCTTATACAGCAGGTCAGTCTCCAGGCTACCGCTGTGAAGGAGGGGCCTGCTTATACAGCAGGTCAGTCTCCAGGCTACCGCTGTGAAGGAGGGTCCTGCTTATACAGCAGGTCAGTCTCCAGGCTACCGCTGTGAAGGAGGGGCTCGCTTATACAGCAGGTCAGGCTCCAGTCTACCGCTGTGAAGGAGGGTCCTGCTTATACAGCAGGTCAGTCTCCAGGCTACCGCTGTGAAGGAGGGGCCCGCTTATACAGCAGGTCAGTCTCCAGGCTACCACTGTGAAGGAGGGGCCCGCTTATACAGCAGGTCAGTCTCCAGGCAAACCGCTGTGAAGGAGGTCCTGCTTATACAGCAGGTCATCTCCAGGCTACCGCTGTGAAGGAGGGCTCGCTTATACAGCAGGTCAGGCTCCAGTCTACCGCTGTGAAGGAGGGTCCTGCTTATACAGCAGGTCAGGCTCCAGGCTACCGCTGTGAAGGAGGGGCCCGCTTATACAGCAGTTCAGTCTCCGGGTCTACCGCTGTGAAGGAGGGTCCTGCTTATACAGCAGGTCGGGTCTCCAGTCTACCGCTGTGAAGGAGGGTCCGCTTATACAGCAGGTTAGGCTCCAGGCTACCGCTGTGAAGGGGGGGCCCGCTTATACAGCAGGTCAGCTCCAGGCTACCACTGTGAAGGAGGGGCCCGCTTATACAGCAGGTTAGCTCCAGGCTACCACTGTGAAGGAGGGGCCCGCTTATACAGCGGGTCAGCTCCAGGCTACCACTGTGAAGGAGGGGCCCGCTTATACAGCAGGTCAGTCTCCAGGCTACCGCTGTGAAGGAGGGGCCCGCTTATACAGCAGGTCAGTCTCCAGGCTACCACTGTGAAGGAGGGGCCCGCTTATACAGCAGGTCAGTCTCCAGGCTACCACTGTGAAGGAGGGCCCGCTTATACAGCAGGTCAGTCCTCCAGGCTACCACTGTGAAGGAGGGGCCTGCTTATACAGCAGGTCAGGCTCCAGGCTACCACTGTGAAGGAGGGCTCCGCTTATACAGCAGGTCAGGCTCCAGGCTACCACTGTGAAGGAGGGCTCCGCTTATACAGCAGGTCAGGCTCCAGGCTACCGCTGTAAAGTGAAACACAGCCTGTTTTCACTTTCAAATGCATATAAAAGCCTGATATCATGTTTACATTATCATATATGAAGTGAACAATAGCTAGGCCTAAAAAATACATATAAAGTACACACATTACTTAAAATATTTTCATTCTCAGCTTATAGTGAGTGATGAATATGTTTATTGTAGGAAGTCTGAATAATGAAGAATGTGTATAATTGATAAGTGCTGTATTAGTGGAACGCCGTAAAGCGGGGCCCTCCTGTATTCAGGAGCCATAAGGATGTCTGTAAAAACTACGTAATAGAAGATAAGTTAGACTGGTAGAGTCTTGGGAAGATAAGTTAGACTGGTAGAGTCTTGGGAAGGTAAGTTAGACTGGTAGAGTCTTGGGAAGATAAGTTAGACTGGTAGAGTCTTGGGAAGATAAGTTAGACTGGTAGAGTCTTGGGAAGATAAGTTAGACTGGTAGAGTCTTGGGAAGATAAGTTAGACTGGTAGAGTCTTGGGAAGATAAGTTAGACTGGTAGAGTCTTGGGAAGATGAGTTATACTGGTAGAGTCTTGGGAAGATAAGTTAGACTGGTAGAGTTTTGGGAAGATGAGTTATACTGATAGAGTCTTGGAAAGATAAGTTAGACTGGTAGAGTCTTGGAAAGATAAGTTAGACTGGTAGAGTCTTGGAAAGATAAGTTAGACTGGTAGAGTCTTGGTAAGATACGTTAGACTGGTAGAGTCTTGGGAAGATAAGTTAGACTGGTAGAGTCTTGGGAAGATAAGTTAGACTGGTAGAGTCTTGGAAAGATAAGTTAGACTGGTAGAGTCTTGGTAAGATACGTTAGACTGGTAGAGTCTTGGGAAGATAAGTTAGACGTAGAGTCTTGGGAAGATAAGTTAGACTGGTAGAGTCTTGGGAAGATAAGTTAGACTGGTAGAGTCTTGGGAAGATAAGTTAGACGTAGAGTCTTGGGAAGATAAGTTAGACGTAGAGTCTTGGGAAGATAAGTTAGACTGGTAGAGTCTTGGGAAGATAAGTTAGACTGGTAGAGTCTTGGGAAGATAAGTTAGACTGGTAGAGTCTTGGGAAGATAAATGATTCAGAGAACCGACAAGTTGATAAATTAGACACATATTCAACACTTAGGTATCTTTATTAAGGAAACGTTTCGCCACACAGTGACCTCATCAGTCCTGTACAAAGAAGAATGATGATGATGATAAGTTTGAGGTAATCAGTCCCTCAGCCTGAAGATTGATGGACTCATTATAATCAGTCCATCAATCTTGAAAAGAATACAGCATATGCTCGAAGAAGTGGCTTATATACTGTAGACAGGTGAGGTGAAGCAGTCGTAGGTAATATCACATTACACAAATCCACATGTGGAAGTAGGTCATGTCTATAGGTTAGGCAGGTGAAGAATTCCCTATATTTAGATCTCAAGATTCTGCTTTGTTTGACACCAATATAATAATATAATAATAATAATAATAATAATAATAATAATAATAATAATAATAATAATAATAATAATAACAACAATAATAATAACAACAATAATAATAATAATAATAATAATAATAATAATAATAATAATAATAATAATAACAATAATAATAATAATAATAATAATAATAATAATAATAATAATAATAATAATATCTTTATTTACTACCAGTACATGTACAAGGTATACACATCATAGCTGACATCAATGACATACTACTATATAGAAAGTCACTTGTTATGTTGAGCATTTCCCGCAAATTAGGTCAGTTTTGTCCCAGGATGCGACCCATACCAGTCCACTAACACCCAGGTACCTATTTTACTGATGGGTGAACATAGACAACCGGTGTAAAGAAACACGCCCAATGTTTCTACCTTCGCCGGGGATCGAACCCGGACACTCGCTGTGTGAAGGGAGAGCTTTAGCCATCAGGCCACGGGTCACCGTAGATAAATGTGCAACATATGCGTATCTTTATTAAAGATACCTAAGTGTTGGACATATGTCTAATTCATTAACTTGTCGACTCTCTGAACCATTTATCGACATTGCTGTCGAACACAGCTACATCATGATACAGGGAATTCTTCACTTGTCTAACCTATAGGCATGACCTACTTCCACATTCATCCTTCACCTTCCTTCACCTTCCTTCACCTTCCTTCACTTTCCTTCACTTTCTTTCACCTTCATCTTCACTCTTCCCTCGGATATTAATAAGAGATATACGAGATTACACATACGTGATGTCAGGTCATTTTGTGGAGGATGAGAGAGAGAGCGAGAGCGAGAGAGAGGTCAGAGAGGGTGAGAGAGGAGAGAAAAATAAGAGAAAGGTGAATGAGGGGAGAGAGAGAGAGGTCAGAGAGACATGAGAGAGAGAGAGGTGAGAGAAAGAAAGCCAAGGTGACTACTGTTAGACCTCTCCACTATGTGGCAGCAGTTCTGGACGAGTCCACGACCAGCTGTGTAGTAGTACTGGATATGGTGTAATAGAGCACAAAATGCGTGCTAAAGGAATAACAGGAAAAGTTGGTAGACGGATCTATAAATTCCTAAAAAACAGAACACAAAGAGTAGTAGTCAACAGAGTAAAGTTAGAGGCGGCTACGGTGAAAAGTTCTGTTCCACAAGAATAAGAGAAGTAGCTTTCTCCAGATTTGTTCGCATTTATATCCGACATAGACCAAGGATTCCCAGCACAAGCACTGTGTCATTCCCTTGCAAATGACACCCGAATCTGCATGACAGTGTCTTCCATTGCGGACACTGCAAGACTCCAGGCGGACATCAACCAAATCTTTAAATGGGCTGCAGAATACATATGAATTCAATGATGAGAAATTTCAATGCTCGATATGGAAACGTGAAAATTAAAATTTAATCGGGAGTAAAAACAATTCCAACCACACAATATGCGAAAAACTAACGTTTAAAGACCCGGGAGTGATCATGCGAAGCTCTCACCTTCAAGGACCCTAACATTTTATCATCGCATCTGCTAGAAAATTGACGGATAGATATGAGAACTTCAAACCTAGGGATGCCAAGCCCATGATGACATCTCGTCGCTTTTCTATCTAGGCGAATATTTCCTGACACTAACAGGTACATTGCGGACACTAGAAAATCCAGAGAACCTCTACGACGCGCATAACGAGATAAAACATCTCAATTACTGGAACGCTTGAGTTCTGAACCTGTACTCCCGGAAAGCAGGTAGAGAACATGATTATAAACTGAAAATCTATAGGGATTATACCAAACTTGCACACGACAATCATTCAATACAAAGCAAAAGACTCGGCAGACGATGCAACATCCCCCCAATGAAAAGCAGGGGTGTCACTAGCACGTTAAGAGACAACACATCAAGTGTCAGTGGCCCAAGACTGTTCATCTGCCTCCCAGCATACATAAAGGGGATTACCAATAGACTCCTGGCTCTCTTCAAGGAGGCACTGGACAGGCACCTGAAGTCGGTACCTGACCAGCCGGGCTGTGGTTCGTACGTTGGTTTGCGTGCGGCCAGCAGTAATAGCCTGGTTGATCAGGCCCTGATTCACCATGAGGCCTGGTCACAGACTGGGCCGCGGGGGCGTTTACCCCCGGAACTCTCATCAGGTATACTCCAGGTAATGCTGGTGCTTCCAGCAGAGTATGGACACCAGGGACTCTGGCTCTGCACCCTCTCTCCTCACTGATTACCCTCAAGGTAGATCTCTAAGAGTAGTTGTCAGTGGGGCACAGTCAACAAGACACTCTACTGGTGGAGGTGTTCCACAGGGAAGTGCACTTGGGACCATTGTTATGGAATATCTAGTTCAGTGACCTTCATCTCATCCCATAATTCCTTGTATATGCAGACGACTGTACTTTGACATTTACTTATCCAAGAGAGGAAATGCTAACTGCTCTCAGGTTACAACAATCACCAGCTTAACAGATATATCAGCCTGGGGAAACCGATGGAGATTACAATTGCTTCTGAGAATACACAAATGATTGTCTCTAGGCACCATGATTGTAATGCTGGAGCAGTGGTAAGAATGAATGGGAGTGTTAGAACCTGGACATGAACTTAATATTCTTGGGATGAAATTTGAGTACAAATTGACTATGAAGAACCACGTTGTAAATCTCGCAAACAATGCGACCAGGAAGCTAAAAGCCTGGTGGGTAAAGCTCTCGCTTCACACGGCGAATGTCCGAATTCGATTCCCGGCGAGGGTAGAAACATTGGGGGTGTTTCCTTACACCAGTTATCTATGTTCTCCATCAGTAAAATGGGTACCTGGGTGTTAGTGGACTGGTGTGGGTCGCATCCTGGGACAAAACTGACCTAATTTGCGGGAAATGTTCAGCATAACAAGTGACTTTCTATATAGTAGTATGTCATTGATGTCAGCTATGGTCTGTATACCTTGTACATGTACTTATAGAAATAAAGATATTATTATTATTATTATTATTATTATTATTATTATTATTATTATTATTATTATTATTATTATTATTATTATTATTATTATCATTCATCTGGTTGACAAAAGCTGCGAGACTATATAAGAACATAAGAAAGAGGAACACTGCAGCAGGCCTACTTGTCCATGCGAGGCAGGTCCAAGTCACCTCCCGGCTTAGACCAATGACCCACCTAGTAATACCAGGTCACATTCACTTAAGGAAGGGACACGGCATCAGACCTATTAGCGCAAGACTGTCAAGTCCAGATCACATCCACCCACACCCACTCATGCATTTATCCAACCTATTTTTAAAACTAAACAATGTCTTAGCTTCTATGACGGGAGTTTGTTCCACTCATCCACTACTCTATTAACAAACCTGTGCTTTCCTATAACTTTCCTGAATCTGAATTTTTCCAACTTAAAACCATTGCTGCGAGTCCTGTCTTGGCTAGATATTTTTAGCACGCTATTTACATTCCTTTATTTATTCCTCTTTTCCATTTATACACCTCAATCATATCCCCCCTAATTCTACGCCTTTCTAGAGAGTGACAGATTCAGGACCCTCAGTCTATCCTCATAGGGAAGATTTCTGATACATGGGATCAACTTGTCATCCTCCTTTGTACGTTTTTCAATGTATTTATATCCATTCTGTAATACGGTGACCAGAACTGTTGAGCATAATCTAAATGAGGCCTAACCAAAGATATAGAGAGTTGAAGAACAACCTGAGGACTCCTGTTATTTATGTTTCTTAATATGAAGCCAAGGATTCTGTTCACTTTATTGCGAACACTTTTGCACGGTCTTGGTTTTAGATTACTGCTAACCAGAACTTCCAAATCCTTTTCGTAATCAGTAATATTAAGATCTAAATTATTTAGTTTATATGTGGCATGGGGATTTTCTTATCCAATGTTTAGAACTTTGCTAAGATTCATTAATCAATTTATGCCTTTCAAGATGGCTACGAATTGCCTCGGCAATTATTGATTCCATAAATTTTCCCACTATGGAGGTAAGGCTTATTGGTCTATAGTACGAAGCACAAGTGCGCTGAAACCTTGAGGATCGACACCATGCCCAGCCCTTTTAGGGCAGGGTAGGTGCCTGAGCCCGAACTTTCAGCTCACAAGACTGTCATTCCCATTAGCCCCCTTGGGGCGGGGATGGCAGACCAGAGAGGCCTAGCTTCTCCCTACGCGAAGCTAGGCCTGGGGACAGTTGGTCCCTAAGATGACGGGGTACTTGTGCCTCCTCCCATGGGAGACTTAGGTCTCAGACACTCCCTAGACAGGGAACCAAGGCCGGGCCACCACTTGGAAAAGGCCCGGGCCGGGAGTATACCGGGGAATCTTTAATAATAATAAATAATAACAAACCTTGAGACCGGAGGGAGAACTGACCTATTCTTTTTGAACACAGGAGGGAATACTGACCTAGTCTTTCTGAAGACAGGAGGGGATTCAGAGCTGCTCTTTATGGAGATAAGAAAGGATACTCACCTATTTTTTGGAGGTAGGAGATACTCACCTATTTTTGAAGATAGAGGGGATACTGACCTTTTTTGGAGGAATGGAGCTCCAGGAGGAGATACTGACCTATTATGTGAAGGAAGGAATTATCAGGAGGGGATAATGACCTATTTTATTAAGGAATGCAACTCCATGAGGGGATACTGACTTATTCTGTGCAGGAAGGCAGCTCCACAAAGGGATACTGACATATTCTATTAACGAAAATAGCTCCAGGAGGGAATACTGACATGTTCTATGAAGGAAGGCAGCTCCGAGGAGGGGGATACTGACCTATTCTATGAAGAAAGGCAGCTCCAGGAGGGGTTACTGACCTATTTTGTGAAGGAAGGCAGCTCCAGGAAGGGATACTGACCTATTCTGTGCAGGAAGGCAGCTCCAGGAGGGGGATACTGACCTATTCTGTGCAGGAAGGCAGTTCCAGGAGGGGATACTGACCTATTCTGTGCAGGAAGGCAGCTCCACGAGGGGATACTGACCTATTCTGTGCAGGAAGGCAGCGCCAGGAGGGGATACTGACCTATTCTGTGCAGGAAGGCAGCTCTAGGAGGGAATACTGACCTATTCTGTACAGAACGGCAGCGCCAGGAGGGGACACTGTCCTTTTCTGTGCAGGAAGGCAGCTCCAGGAGGGGATACTGACCTATTCTGTGCAGGAAGGCAGCTCCAGGAGGGGATACTGACCTATTCTGTGCAGGAAGGCAGTTCTAGGAGGGAATACTGACCTATTATGTGCAGGAAGGCAGCTCTAGGAGGGGATACTGACCTATTCTGTGCAGGAAGGCAGCTCTAGCAGGGGATACTGACTTATTCTGTGCAGGAAGGCAGCTTCAGGAGGGAATACTGACCTATTCTGTGCATGAAGGCAGCTCCAGGAGGAGATACTGACCTATTCTGTGCAGGAAGGCAGCTCCAGGAGGGGATACTGACCTATTCTGTGCAGTAAGGCAGCACCAGGAGGGGATACTGACCTATTCTGTGCAGTAAGGCAGCACCAGGAGGGGATACTGACCTATTCTGTGCAGGAAGGCAGCACTAGGAGGGGATACTGACCTATTCTGTGTAGGAAGGCAGCACCAGGAGGGGATACTGACCTATTCTGTGCATGAAGGCAGCTCCAGGAGGGGATTATGTCGGAGGATCTCACCTTCAAGGACCATAACATTGTATCAATCGCATCTGCTAGAAAAATGACAGGATGGATAATGAGAACCTTCAAAACTAGGGAGGCCAAGCCCATGATGACACTCTTCAGGTCACTTGTTCTATCTAGGCTGGAATATTGCTGCACTCTAACAGCACCTTTCAAGGCAGGTGAAATTGCCGACCTAGAAAATGTAAGAGAACTTTCACGGCGCGCATAACGGAGATAAAACACTCAATTACTGGGGAGCGCTTGAGGTTTCTAAACCTGTATTCCCTGGAACGCAGGAGGGAGAGATACATGATTATATACACCTGGAAAATCCTAGAGGGACTAGTACCGACTTGCACACGAAAATCACTCACTACGAAAGCAAAGACTTGGCAGACGATGCACCATCCCCCCAATGAAAAGCAGGGGTGTCACTAGCACGTTAAGAGACCATACAATAAGTGTCAGGGGACCGAGACTGTTCAACTGCCTCCCAGCACACATAAGGGGGATTACCAACAGACCCCTGGCAGTCTTCAAGCTGGCACTGGACAAGCACCTAAAGGCAGTTCCTGATCAGCCGGGCTGTGGCTCGTACGTTGGTTTGCGTGCAGCCAGCAGCAACAGCTGGTTGATCAGGCGCTGATCCACCAGGAGGCCTGGTCACAGACCGGGCCGCGGGGGCGTTGACCCCCGAAACTCTCTCCAGGTAAACTCCAGGTATTCTGTGCAGGAAGGCAGCTCCAGGAGGGAATACCGACCTATTCTGTGCAGGAAGACAGCTCCAGGAGGGGATACTGACCTATTCTGTGCAGGAAGACAGCTCCAGGAGAGGATACTGACCTATTCTGTGCAGGAAGACAGCTCCAGGAGGGGATACTGACCTATTCTGTGCAGGAAGACAGCTCCAGGAGGGGATACTGACCTATTCTGTGCAGGAAGACAGCTCCAAGAGAGGATACTGACCTATTCTGTGCAGGAAGGCAGCGTAATTATTGTGGACTACGGGATCAGAGGCTCGCGCCACCACCAGCGCTACATACAAGCGGTGAGCGTCCTGCAGACGTCCAGCGTCCACGTAGAGTCCCGACAGGACGGAGACTGCGTCCCTGTTGGTCGTGTCGTATCGCAAACACTCCTCCAGAAGTGCCATCGCCTCCGCGACGCGACCCTCTTTCCTGTCAAGGTTGCTGTAACTAAACTGACTTAACTAACAATAAATTTAGTCAACTATACACAACTCATCACATTTCTAGTCATTTTTGGATGTAATTATATTAAATAATTTTTAAATAATTAATATTTATATATATTTATAAAATGCATATTAATATAGATTATATATATATATATATATATATATATATAAATATATATATATATATATATATATATATATATATATATATATAGTCGATGTGATTTGAAGTGGTGAAGTGCAGGCGTGGGTGAGTGTGGAAATGGGTGAGAGTGTGGGCGTGGGTGAGTGTGGAAATGGGTGAGAGTGTGGGCGTGGGTGAGTGTGGAAATGGGTGAGAGTGTGGGCGTGGGTGAGTGGGAAATGGGTGAGAGTGTGGGCGTGGGTGAGTGGAAATGGGTGAGAGTGTGGGCGTGGGTGAGTGTGGAAATGGGTGAGAGTGTGGGCGTGGTGAGTGGAAATGGGTGAGAGTGTGGGCGTGGGTGAGTGTGGAAGTGGGTGAGAGTGTGGGCGTGGGTGAGTGTGGAAGTGGGTGAGAGTGTGGTCGTGGGTGAGTGTGGAAATGGGTGAGAGTGTGGGCGTGGGTGAGTGTTCAAGTGGTGAGAGTGTGGGCGTGGGTGAGTGTGGAAGTGGGTGAGAGTGTGGTCGTGGGTGAGTGTGGAAATGGGTGAGAGTGTGGGCGTGGGTGAGTGTGGAAGTGGGTGAGAGTGTGGGCGTGGGTGAGTGTGGAAGTGGGTGAGAGTGTGGGCGTGGGTGAGTGTGGAAGTGGGTGAGAGTGTGGGCGTGGGTGAGTGTGGGCGTGAATGAGTGTGGTCGTGGGTGAGTGTGGTCGTGGGTGAGTGTGGGCGTGGGTGAGAATGTGGTCGTGGGTGAGTGTGGGCGTGGATGAGTGTGGGCGTGACTGAGTGTGGTCGTTGGTGAGTGTGGTCGTGGGTGAGTGTGGGCGTGGGTGAGAATGTGGTCGTGGGTGAGTGTGAGCGTGGGTGAGAGTGTGGGCGTAGGTGAGTGTGAGTGTGGGCGTGGGTGAGTGTGGAGGTGGGTGAGTGTGGAAGTGGGAGAGAATGTGGGCGTGGGTAGAGTGTGGGCGTGGATGAGTGGGCGTGGGTGCGAATGTGGTCGTGGGTGAGTGTGGTCGTGGGTGAGAATGTCGTGGGTGAGTGTGGTCGTGGGTGAGAGTGTGGACGTGGGTGAGTGTGGAAGTGGGTGAGAGTGTGGGCGTGGGTGATTGTGGGCGTGGATGAGTGGTCGTGGGTGAGAGTGTGGTCGTGGGTGAGTGGGCGTGGGTGAGTGTGGGCGTGGGTGAGTGTGGTCGTGGGCGACAGTGTGGTCGTGGGTGAGAGTGTGGTCATGGTGAGAGTGTGGACGTGGGTGAGTGTGGTCGTGGCTGAATGTGGGCGTGAGAGTGTGGTTGTGAGAGGGTGAGAGTGTGTGGACGTGGCTGATGTGGCGTGGATGGAATGTGGGTGGAGAGTGTGGTCGTGGGTGAGAGCGTGGGTCGTGTGGTGAGTGGGCGTGGGTGAGAATGGGCGTGGGTGAGAGTGTGGACGGGGTGAGAGTGTGGTCGTGGGTGAGAGTGTGGTCGTGAGTGAGTGGGCGTGGGGGAGTATGGGCGTGGGTGAGAGTGTGGACGTGGCTGAGAGTGTGGGCGTGGGTTGAGAGTGTGGACGTGGCTGAGAGTGTGGGCGTGGGTGAGAGTGTGGGCGTGGGTGAGTGTGGGCGTGGGTGAGAGTGTGTCGTGGGCGACAGTGTGGTCGTGGGTGAGAGTGTGGTCATGGGTGAGAGTGTGGTCGTGGGTGAGTGTGGGCGTGGGTGAGTGTGGGCGTGGGTGAGAGTGTGGTCGTGGGTGAGTGTGGGCGTGGGTGAGAGAGTGGTCGTGGGTGAGTGTGTGGGCGTGGGTGAGTGTGGGCGTGGGCTTAAACTTACTGCCTGAGGGTAGCCAGGTTGTAGTAAGCATGGGAGTGCTGTGGGTGAACCTTCAGTGCTAGCTGGAAGTGTCTCTCAGCCAGACTCGTGTTGATCAGCAGGGTGCCAAGGTTGTTGTGGGCACTCCAGTGCCCCGGCCATAATCTGGGGCACAGGTAGGGGGGCACAGGAAGTTAATGATACAAAAAACTGTAGAGAAGAATTGTTATGGTATATATATATATATATATATATATATATATATATATATATATAATATATATATATATATATATATATATATATATATATATATATATATATATATATATATATATATATATAATACAACCCTGGGTATATACACAGAGATACAGCTCTCAGTGTATATACACAGACTTGCAACTCTCAGTGTATATACACAGAGATACAACTCTGGGTATATACACAGATACAACTCTGGGTATATACACAGATACAACTCTAGGTATATACAAAGATACAACTCTCAGTGTATATGCACAGATATATAACTCTCAGTGTATATACACAGATACAACTCTGGGTATATACACAGAGATACAACTCTGGGTATATATACAGATACAACCCTGAGTATATACACAGAGATACAACTCTGGGTATATACACAGAGATACAACTCTGGGTATATACACAGATACAATTCTAGGTATATACACAGAGATACAACTCTGGGTATATACACAGAGATACAACTCTGGGTATATACACAGAGATACAACTCTGGGTATATACACAGAGATACAACTCTGGGCATATACACAGAGATACAACTCTGGGTATATACACAGAGATACAACTCTCATTGTAGATGCACAGAGATACAACTCTCAGTGTATATACACAGAGATACAACTCTCAGTGTATATACACAGAGATACAACTCTCAGTGTATATACATAGAAATACAACTCTCATTGTATATACGCAGAGATACAACTCTCAGTGTATATGCACAGAAATACAACTCTCAGTGTATATACACAGAGATACAACTCTCAGTGTATATACACAGAGATACAACTCTCAGTGTATATACACAGACATAACTCTCAGTGTATATACACAGAGATACAGCTAGCAGTGTATTTACACAGATACATCTATTAGTGTATATACAATGAGAGGTACAACTCTTAGTGTATATACACTAAGATACATCTTCACGGTGTATATACATTGAGAGACATACACTTCACGGTGTATATACACATACACTTCACAGTGTATACACCCCTGTGAAATATATACACCGTGTATATACAGTGAGTTTGTTCTGATAATTATTTTAGGTATTAAAGTATTCTTGACTGGTGGTGAACAGGTGACCTGCAGCCTTAATGACCCTCGTGTAGTGGATAGACTTTAACCTCCATTAACAAACCAACCAGCCTTAATAACCTTCGTGTGGTAGATAGGCTTTAAACTCCATTAACTATCTGACCAGCCTTAATGGCCCTCGTGTGGTAGATAGGCTTTAAGCACCATTAAGAATCTGACCAGCCTTAATGACCTTGTGGTAGATAGGTTTTAAGCTCCATTAACTAACCCGCCTTAATGACCCTCGTAGCAGTAGATAGGTTTTAAACCTCATTAACGTACCTGATAGCTTTGCGGTAGTGGAACTTGGCACGTTCTAAGTTGCCTAAGTCCTTCTGTAAGTTGGCAAAGTTGTAGTGCATCTTGGCGTTGTGGGGCAGTGTTCTGAGTCCTGCACTGAGTGTATGATGCACCACCACCACCAGCGTCACCACCACCACCAGCGTCACCACCACCACCAGCGTCACCATCACCACATGTAGGCAGAAAGGATACACCACCATCAGTATCACCACCAGCGTCACCAACACTACCACCAGCGTCACCACGACGACCACCACCACCACTACTACTACTAGCGTCACCACCACCACCAGCGTCACCACCACCAGCGTCACCATCACCAGCGTTACCATCACCACATGTAGGGAGAAAGGATACTCCACCATCAGTATCACCACCAGCGTCATCACCTTCACCACCACCACGAGTATCACCGCCACCACTACTATCACCACCACTACACCACCACCACCACCACCACCACCACTGCCACCACCACCACCACCACTACCACCACCACTACTACTACCATCACCACCACCAGCAGTGCTACTACCATCACCACCACCACCATCACTACCACCAGCACTACTACTACCACCAACACCACCACTACCACCACCACCACTACTACCAACACCGCCACTAGCACCACCACTACCACCTCCGCTGCCACCACTATCCAGTACTTTCTACTACCATCACCACCACCACCACTACCACCAGCACTACTACTAACATCACCACTACCACCAGCACTACTACTACCATCACCACCACCACCACTACCATCGCCACCATCACTACCATCACCACCACCACCACCACTACCATCACCACCATCACTACCATCACCACCACCACCACTACTACCATCACCACCAACACCACCACCACCACCACCACTACCACTACCATCACCACCACCACCACTACCACTGCCACCACAACAACTACAACTACCACCATCACCACCACTACTATCATCACCACCACCACTACTACTACCATCACCACCTCCACCACCACCACCACTACTACCATTACCACTACAATCACTACCACCACCCCTACCACCACCACCACCACTACTACCATCACCACCACTACTACCATCACCACCTCCACCACCACTACTACCATCACCACCTCCACCACCACTACTACCACATCACCACTACCATCACTACCACCACCCCTACCACCACCATCACCACCATCACCACCTCCACCACCAGTACTGCCATCACCACTACCATCACCCCTACCACCACTACCACTATCACTACCACCACCACTACTACCACCATCACTACAACCACAACTACCATCACCACCACTACCACCAGCACTACTACTACCATTACCACCACCACCTACCACACCACCACCACTACCACCACCAACCACTACCACATCACCACCACCACCACACTACATCACCACTACCACATACCATCACCCACCACACCACCACTACTACCTATCCACCACCACTTACCATACACTCACCACTACACACCACTACCACCACCAACACACTACCACCCTACCATACCACACCACCATACATCACCACCACACACCACTACTACCATCACCACCATCACTACTACCACTACACTACCACCACCACCACTACCATACATCACCACCACCACTACCATCACCACCACCACCACTACTACCATCACCACTACCATCACTACCACCACCCCTACCACCACCACCACCACACTACACCATCACACACCACACTCTACCATCACCACCATCCACCACTACTACCATCACCAACTACCATCATACCACCACACACACACTACCACTATTACTACCACCACCACATACTACACCACCATCACATACATACCACCACACTACTACACTCACCACCACTACCATCACCACCACCATCACCATCCATACCATCACCACCATCACCATCACAACCACCACCTACCATCCACCACTACCATATACCACCACCACACCATCACCACCACCACCATCACCACTACCATTACCACCACCACCATCACCACCACCTCCACTACCACTACCATCACCACCACCACCATCACCACCACCACTACCATTACCACCACCACCACCATCACCATCACCATCACCACCACCACTACCATTACCACCACCACTACCATCACAAACCACCACCACTACCATAACCACCACCACCATCACCACCACCATCACCACCACCACCATCACCACTACCATTAACCACCACAACCAACCTACATCACCATCAACCACCACTACCATACTACCATCACCACCACCACCATCACCACATCAATCACATCACCACCACCACACCATCACACTACCATTATACCATCACACCACCATCACCACCACCAACTAACCATCACCACATACATCCATTACCACACCACCATCAACCACCTCTCAGCATTAACCTTAATTACAACTAATTAAACATTAATAACCTTAATTGATCATTAACATCAGTGGAAATAAAATATAAACACAGATACAAATAAACATCAATGACCATCAGACACCAGAAACATCAATTACCAGTTTATTACCTTCCAACACAAACATCACTCATCAACATCAATCATTATATACATCGGTCACTAGATAGCAGTCACTATATACATCATTCACTATAGATATCAGCCATTATAGATACTCACTATATACATCACCCATTATAGATATAAAACATTATGTACCTCAGTCACTATAGACATCAGGCACTATGTACATCAGGCACTATATACATCATTCACTATAGACATCAGGCACTATATACATCAGTCACTATATACATCAGGTGTTATATACATCAGACACTATATACATCAGGCACTATATACATCAGGCACTATATACATCAGGCACTATATACATAAGGCACTATATACATCAGTCACTGTATACATCAGGCACTATATACATCAGTCACTATATACATCAGGTATTATATACATCAGGCACTATATACATCAGACACTATATGCATCAGTCACTGTATACATCAGTCACTGTATACATCAGGCACTATAGACATCAGTCACTATATACATCAGTCACTATGTACATCAGGTATTATATACATCAGGCACTATATACATCAGGCACTTTATACATCAGGCACTATATACATCAGGCACTATATACATCAGTCACTGTATACATCAGGCACTATATACATCAGTCACTGTATACATCAGGCACTATATACATCAGTCACTGTATACATCAGGCACTATATACATCAGTCACTATATACATCAGGTATTATATACATCAGTCACTATATACATCAGGTATTATATACATCAGGCACTATATACATCAGGCACTATATACATCAGGCACTATATACATCAGGCACTATATACATCAGGCACTATATACATCAGTCACTGTATACATCAGGCACTATATACATCAGTCACTGTATACATCAGGCACTATATACATCAGTCACTATGTACATCAGGTATTATATACATCAGGTACTATATACATCAGGCACTATATACATCAGTTACTGTATACATCAGGCACTATAGACATTATATGCATAAACATCGGTATCACCAGTTGCTGTGAACACCAATCATTATTACTAACATGAGTCAGCAGTAACATGCTCCAGACATGTTTACTAACATGAGTCAGCAGTAACATGCTCCAGACATGTTTACTCACATGAGTCAGCAGTAACATGCTCCAGACATGTTTACTAACATGAGTCAGAAGTAACATGCTCCAGACAAGTTTACTTACTAACATGAGTCAGCAGTAACATGCTCCAGACAAGTTTACTAACATGAGTCAGCAGTAACATGCTCCAGACATGTTTACTAACATGAGTCAGAAGTAACATGCTCCAGACAAGTTTACTTACTAACATGAGTCAGCAGTAACATGCACCAGACAAGTTTACTAACATGAGTCAGCAGTAACATGCACCAGACAAGTTTACTCACTAACATGAGTCAGCAGTAACATGCACCAGACAAGTTTACTCACTAACATGAGTCAGCAGTAACATGCTCCAGACAAGTTTACTCACTAACATGAGTCAGCAGTAACATGCTCCAGAGAAGTTTACTAACATGAGTCAGCAGTAACATGCTCCAGACAAGTTTACTAACATGAGTCAGCAGTAACATGCTCCAGACATGTTTACTAACATGAGTCAGCAGTAACATGCTCCAGACAAGTTTACTAACATGAGTCAGCAGTAACATGCTCCAGACAAGTTTACTAACATGAGTCAGCAGTAACATGCTCCAGACAAGTTTACTCACTAACATGAGTCAGCAGTAACATGCACCAGATAAGTTTACTCACTAACATGAGTCAGCAGTAACATTCTCCGGACAAGTTTACTAACATGAGTCAGCAGTAAAATGCACCAGACAAGTTTACTCACTAACATGAGTCAGCAGTAACATGCACCAGACAAGTTTACTCACTAACATGAGTCAGCAGTAACATGCTCCAGACAAGTTTACTCACTAACATGAGTCAGCAGTAACATGCTCCAGAGAAGTTTACTAACATGAGTCAGCAGTAACATGCTCCAGACAAGTTTACTCACTAACATGAGTCAGCAGTAACATGCTCCAGACAAGTTTACTAACATGAGTCAGCAGTAACATGCACCAGACAAGTTTACTCACTAACATGAGTCAGCAATAACATGCTCCAGACAAGTTTACTAACATGAGTCAGCAGTAACATGCACCAGACAAGTTTGCTAACATGAGTCAGCAGTAACATGCTCCAGACAAGTTTACTCACTAACATGAGTCAGCAGTAACATGCTCCAGACAAGTTTACTAACATGAGTCAGCAGTAACATGCACCAGACAAGTTTACTAACATGAGTCAGCAGTAACATGCTCCAGATAAGTTTACTAACATGAGTCAGCAATAACATGCTCCAGACAAGTTTACTCACTAACATGAGTCAGCAGTAACATGCTCCAGACATGTTTACTCACTAACATGAGTCAGAAGTAACATGCACCTGACATGTTTACTCACTAACATGAGTCAGCAGTAACATGCTCTAGACATGTTTACTCACTAACATGAGTCAGCAGTAACATGCTCCAGACAACTTTACTCACTAACATGAGTCAGCAGTAACATGCTCCAGACAAGTTTACTCACTAACATGAGTCAGCAGTAACATGCTCCAGACAAGTTTACTCACTAACATGAGTCAGCAGTAACATGCACCAAACAAGTTTACTCACTAAAATGACTCAGCAGTAACATGCTCCAGACAAGTTTGCTCACTAACATGAGTCAGCAGTAACATGCTCCAGACAAGTTTACTCACTAACATGAGTCAGCAGTAACATGCTCCAGACAAGTTTACTCACTAACATGAGTCAGCAGTAACATGCACCAGATAAGTTTACTCACTAACATGAGTCAGCAGTAACATGCACCAGACAAGTTTACTCACTAACATGAGTCAGCAGTAACATGCACCAGACAAGTTTACTCACTAACATGAGTCAACAGTAACATGCACCAAACAAGTTTACTCACTAACATGAGTCAGCAGTAACATGCACCAGACAAGTTTACTCACTAACATGAGTCAGCAGTAACATGCTCCAGACAAGTTTACTCACTAACATGAGTCAGCAGTAACATGCACCAGACAAGTTTACTCACTAACATGAGTCAGCAATAACATGCTACAGACAAGTTTACTCACTAACATGAGTCAGCAGTAACATGCACCAGACAAGTTTACTAACATGAGTCAGCAGTAACATGCTCCAGATAAGTTTACTAACATGAGTCAGCAGTAACATGCACCAGACAAGTTTACTCACTAACATGAGTCAGCAGTAACATGCACCAGACAAGTTTACTCACTAACATGAGTCAGCAATAACATGCTCCAGACAAGTTTACTCACTAACATGAGTCAGCAGTAACATGCACCAGACAAGTTTACTCACTAACATGAGTCAGCAGTAACATGCTCCATATAAGTTTACTAACATGAGTCAGCAGTAACATGCACCAGACAAGTTTACTCATTAACATGAGTCAGCAGTAACATGCTCCAGACAAGTTTACTCACAGGAAGAGGGTCTCCCTGGTGTTCCAGTCTGTGTTCCTGTGCAGCGTCCTACACGAGAACATCAGCAGTAGCAGCAGGAGGCAGGGCGCCCGTACACGACCCACTCTTGACACACCCACACCCATCAGTAGTGAGTAACCCAGGCTGTCAACACGAGGGGATATAACTCATGATGTTAGAGAACAGTAGTGAATAACCCAGGCTGTGAACAAGAGGGGAAATATCCTAGACTTAACACAAGGGGAAATAACCCAGGCTGTGAACAAGCGGGGAAATATCCCAGACTTAACACAAGGGGAAATAACCCAGGCTGTGAACAAGCGGGGAAATATCCCAGACTTAACACAAGGGGAAATAACCCAGGCTGTGAACAAGCGGGGAAATATCCCAGACTTAACACAAGGGGAAATAACCCAGGCTGTGAACAAGCGCGGAAATATCCCAGACTTAACACAAGGGGAAATAACCCAGGCTGTGAACAAGACGGGAAATAACCCAGACTTAACACAAGGGGAAATAACCCAGGCTGTGAACAAGAGGGGGAAATAACCCAGACTTAACACAAGGGGAAATAACCCAGGCTGTGAACAAGCGGGGAAATATCCTAGACTTAACACAAGGGGAAATAACCCAGGCTGTGAACAAGAGGGGAAATATCCTAGACTTAACACAAGGGGAGATAACCCAGGCTGTGAACAAGAGGGGAAATATCCCAGACTTAACACAAGGGGAAATAACCCAGGCTGTGAACAAGCGGGGAAATAACCCAGACTTAACACAAGGGGAAATAACCCAGGCTGTGAACAAGAGGGGAAATAACCCAGACTTAACACAAGGGGAAATAACCCAGCCTGTTAACAACAGTAGTGAATTAAGAAATACGGTAAGATATACGCAGTTTTCAGTGTATATAAGTGAGATATAAATGTTGATGTGTATACACAGAGATATACACATCTCTTGAGGTACATAAGGAATATTTCACCTGGGGATGTAGATCACTACAACACTCACCTGGGGATGTAGATCACTACAACACTCACCTGGGGATGTAGATCACTACAACACTCACCTGGGGATGTAGATCACTACAACATTCACCTGGGGATGTAGATCACTACAACATTCACCTGGGGATGTAGATCACTACAACATTCACCTGGGGATGTAGATCACTACAACATTCACCTGGGGGATGTAGATCACTACAACATTCACCTGGGGGATGTAGATCACTACAACATTCACCTGGGGATGTAGATCACTACAACATTCACCTGGGGATGTAGATCACTACAACATTCACCTGGGGATGTAGATCACTACAACATTCACCTGGGGATTAGATCCTACAACATTCACCTGGGGAATTAGATCACTACACACAATCACCTGGGGGATGTAGATCACTACAACATTCACCTGGGGATGTAGATCACTACAACATTCACCTGGGGATGTAGATCACTACAACATTCACCTGGGGGATGTAGATCACTACAACATTCACCTGGGGGATGTAGATCACTACAACATTCACCTGGGGATGTAGATCACTACAACATTCACCTGGGGATGTAGATCACTACAACATTCACCTGGGGATGTAGATCACTACAACACTCACCTGGGGATGTAGATCACTACAACATTCACCTGGGGATGTAGATCACTACAACATTCACCTGGGGATGTAGATCACTACAACACTCACCTGGGGATGTAGATCACTACAACACTCACCTGGGGATGTAGATCACTACAACATTCACCTGGGGATGTAGATCACTACAACATTCACCTGGGGATGTAGATCACTACAACATTCACCTGGGGATGTAGATCACACAACATTCACCTGGGGATGTAGTTTCCCACAACATTCACCTGGGGGTTAGAAAACCCAAAAAAACATTTACCGGGGGTAGATCACTACAACATTTACCTGGGGATTAACTACAAATTCACCTGGGGATGT